GAGTGAAGGTGCTTAGAACCACAAACTGTGGACAATGTATGACTGAAGGTGCTTAGAACTGCAAACTGTGGACAATGTATGACTGAAGGTGCTTAGATCCACAAACTATGGACAATGTATGACTGAAGATGCTTAGAACCACAAACTGTGGACAATGTATGACTGAAGGTGCTTAGAACTGCAAACTGTGGACAATGTATGACTGAAGGTGCTTATATCCACAAACTATGGACAATGTATGACTGAAGATGCTTAGAACCACAAACTGTGAACAATGTATGACTGAAGGTGCTTAGAACTGCAAACTGTGGACAATGTATGACTGAAGGTGCTTAGCTCCACAAACTATGGACAATGTATGACTGAAGGTGCTTAGAACTGCAAAATGTGGATAACGTATGACTGAAAGTCCTTAGAAACACAAACTGTGGACAAAGTATGACTAAAGGTGCTTAGACCGCAAACTGTGGCCGATGAATGACTTAAAATATGTAGTCTGAGAGTCGCACTTAAAACTTTTCTGAACTAATTATAACTTAAAATTATGGAGAAAATCGATGAATCAAATGACTCTGCTTTTTTCATACAGTGCAAGTTGCTGTAAGTGGTATAATGGTGTGGGTAACATACTAGTTACAAGGTTGTGATGCTCTAGTCAAAATATTCAATAACACCTAGGGTGTACCTGGACGATGTTGCTAATCATGTTTATACCTCTGTACTGCATTTCTATCCCCCATGGTTAAAAGTTTTTCAAGACATTAACGCAACAATTCACCATGATCATCTTGATTTGAAGAGCACAAAAAATGTTTCTTGACCATCAGATTCGCTGAATCGTATGATGATTGAGATTTCGCAACCATAATCCTTTGTGGGTACTTGTGAACAAATTGGAGACCTTACTCCTTGATGAATTGGCTTTAATAATGAAGGCTCCTTCTGGCATCTCTTGATACATCTATTATACCGGGCGAAATGTAGTCTAAGTCGACATTAATTGTTTTCATAAAGTGGCTAGTCAGCGTAGTAGATATACCACACAATTCATGTAAGCCAATTATTTTTTTTATTCTCTTTCATCTTTATAATTTAAAACAAAGTCAGTTTGTGCATTTGATAAGTAACTAGATCTATAAAGAGACAATGTCGAGCGTCAGCCAGATAAAAATGAAATAAGATATTTAATTATTAAATATAACGCAACATCATTCACATTTTCATAAACTCTTAGTTTCTAAAGTGTTCAAATTGTTGCTGGAAAACATTTTCGACTACACTAAAGAGACTCAGAGTGGAATCGAAACTTTTATTTTGGATAATAAATTCAGTAGTGTTTTAATAACATTATTAATATTCCCACATCCAGAAAATACATAATGTGTTAAAGTAATGGAACTTATTTCATATTGTAGCAAGTTTGAAACAGTCACAAGATGGCGCAAAATGAAAATAAAATTTAATAATTTTAAATTAATATGTATATTATCTATTGACTTTCTTACAGGTGGAATTGACGAAGACTCTCGACCGAAAATAGCCAACTTCAGACCTGGAAGCATTGCACATAGGTAAGAAACAGAAAGTTAATTTATATTCATATTGATAGAAACTGACATATGTATGAGTAACACAGTAGAGAGAGAGAGAGAGAAGAAAGGGAGAGAATATCAGCGGCAAGAAATGTATACTTATCTCATAGAAGGAAATTAATCGAACGAGTAAATAATTAAAAATTATTTACTGCCGTCTAGGAAACAAACAACCTTTTATAGTTTTGAAAAGGAACATGGATCACAAAAAATAATAAAGAATACAACAGGAACGAGAACGTTCATCTGAAAATCTCGTTAAAGTTTTTATAACTGTGCACAGTTCGAAGATGACTGTTGAATTTTCTCACTATCGCAGGACGAACTAAGCTGGACGTGTGTAACTACTCTGTTCAAGCTGTTTGTGATTTATGAAGAGACTTAGGGTATCTTTCTGGAAAAGGAGCTGATTCAATAGCCCTGGTAGGGAACTGATAAACGCTCATAAATTTCAAGAAGCCAGAACAAAATAGGCGGAAAGGTGACCCCGTTTCTGTTAGTTGGGGGGTGCTTTCTGAGTGAACACAATAATTACGTTTGAGAGTTGGTATCATAGGTAATAAATGACGATATTAATCAAAAGTAAAGAATTCAATTATTGAACATAATAGAGAACTCGAGATGTAGTTACCAGTTGGTTACCATAGTTATGTAATGAAATAGTTGTCAAAAACATAATTATAAGAAGATACTCGAAGTGTTTTGATAAGAAAAAGAGTTGATTTATTGTTGACAGGAAAGAGATAAACTTGTCAATTCAAGAAAATATACGGAAATATGACTCGTAGAAAATATATCAAAAGTAAAAAAAATATTGTATCATAAAAAATATGCTACATTGCCAACTGTGTTAAGAAAAAAAGTGAAGGGATCTTCAGGATAGTAAGAAACCACGGCATATTTCAGAATTACACAAAATTCTCCAACAAACTTTATAAAACAAAATGAACAAAATACGTGTTTAAGTAAATTTATTGATTTTGTGTAACTAGTATTGTTATAACGAGTTTGAAATATCCAATGTATGTAACTAGTATTGTTATAACTGGTTTGAAAGATCCAATTTTGTGTAACTAGTATTGTTATAACGGGTTTGAAGTATCCAATTTTGTGTAACTAGTATTGTTATAACTGGTTTGAAAAATCCAATGTTGTGTAACTAGTATTGTTATAACGGGTATGAAAAATCCAGTGTTGTGTAACTAGTATTGTTATAACGGATATGAAAGATCCATTTTTTTTGTAACTAGTATTGTTATAATGGGTTTGAAAGATCCAATGTTGTGTAACTAGTATTGTTATAACTGGTTTGAAGATCCAAAGTGTGTAACTGGTATTGTTTTTAACAGTTTCGAAAGATCTAATGTTATTGTTTATAAAGATGTTGAAAGATCAGTTTTTGGAAGATTCAGTGTTATGTAACTGTGTGATAGTAATGTATTTGAATATTTCTTTATCGATTTAACTCCGAAACACATATATTAACTGAGTTTTGAGGTAGATCTAAACTATACGTTGTCAATCGCACTGAATACACTCAACTATCGTGTAAATTGTAAACATTAATTTACAAGGTTACATGTTTTAACTAAACGGAACACACTCTCCTCTGTTTAGAATCCAGCAAACTAGAAAAACTACCAACTTGAACTGTTCCTTTAATAAGTCCACCGGTGGGTCAGCTCTAAAATCCAGGGTTCGATTCCATGCGGTGGATAGAGTGCGTGTAGTTCTTTGTGTAGATTTGCAGTAGGAAAACAACAACCCTTTCATAGATGGATCTAGGATTATCCAGTCCATCATGTGACATAAAATTAACTGTTTTGTTAGATGCTTTGTGTTTTTATTCACAAAATATTCATCTGTAACAATGTGATTCGTCGTATTCATTGGCTCATAGTATGCTTGATTTGAAAGATCTACGAGGAAACAATAAGTGGTTTAAGATACTGGAAATTAAAGTAACAAATCACAGTTATAAGGTATGTAAATTATCAAGTTCCTTCTATTTCATTACTTGATAAGCTATTGAAAGATTCGAGATAAAACTCTTCCATGACAATACCCACACATACATGAATATCAGGCAGTAGGCAGCACTGCCTATGTAGGAATGACTCGGATCGTTCATCCAAAGGGTATTTTAAATATATCTTCAATGGTTCATAAGAACTTTACAATACTATACAGTGTTTCCTTTTATAACAATATCTATGTAATGACTGAGTCTCAAGTACTGGGAATGTCTGTAAATATG